TATAATGAATATGTTATATGGTGCATATATTTAGCAAAATGCACCTCTACAGTTTATTTTTCTATCTGACTAATGAGTTTATGGTCACCGAATATGTTTTTCTGAGGTAAATGTGACGTTACGTGACATTGTTTACAAGCTGTTATATTGACGTCTTTGCGCGGCTGAAACACTGATTGAGCGATTACATGAGACAGGATGCGGACTGTAAAGTTGTACTCTTTCTTTTAGCTTACCTTCGGATGTTTAGTCATGTTTATTTTGTGCTGAAACTGGTATTAATGTGGAGGAGACGATCAGTTCACGTGAGCCTCGTGCTGCTGCGTCTGTTGATCGAGGCGCTACAGCGATCTGTCACTCCACATTAAACAGCGCCAAAACGGCATTTATTGTTTGAATACTGCAATACAATTGACAGAATTTAAAATCTGAGACTTTGTTTCATATTAAAAGTACCAAAGCACAATGCTTATTGTGATATATTGGATGGGAAGTGCCCTTAATGTTCCGTCCATTAACTGAAAACAGGCTAGACTAATCGATTCTTGGGATTTAAGAATCGATATCGTTCCGTAAAAATGAGAATCGATTAATATCAAGATATCGATATTTTTTACCCGGCCCTACTAAAAATTTAGTAAACTTTCTTGAAGTCTGTTTATTGAAAATATGATCATGGTGTGTTGGTACAGGAGTTGATTGGTCACATGCTACAGGTGAATGTGGAGGCCAGATACACAGCGGAGGATGTGCTGTCTCACCCCTGGGTCACGGTAAATGTGTGTGAAAAGTTTTATTGCTGTGTGTATGTGCGACTTAGGTAATGCATGTGCTACATTACAGTATCAGATTTCTATTTATAAAATATAATACACCAAATGTATTTTAGACATTATTGAATGTTGAGTAGCCTGATTGGCCACAAGGGATTCACTCGCACACTTACTCATTAAACAATTATTTGTGTCATTTGAGCTGTATTAGAGGTGGTTTTGATTTATGTTTCAAATTATTTTTCAAACTGAACCCTACAATTTAGTCTGAATGCTCTGGAGAACACCGTAATATTGCTCACCATTAGATTGGCCTATGCTAATCCACTTCAATAACCAACAGGACGATGCTGCAATGGAAAACAATATGAAGATGGAGGTGGCAGGTAAACTCAAAAAGCACTTTAACTCTGTGCAGAAACAGAGCAACACTTCCCCTGGAGTCTCTGTTATTATGGTGAGCACACACACTCACACATGAGAAACAGTCTGCACATCATAACTGCAGCTGCTGTCGTCTGTTAATATGCTACGCTTAAAAAATAACCAATGTCATCCTCTCGGCCCCTAATGATTAGTACTTGGATTACAAATATTTCTGAAGCATAGCCGTAACTGAATTTAAAGCCACTGTGGACACCAGCATCAAATCAATCAGTTTGTCTCCCTCAGAGCTCATGACTTACATAACTGCTAAATCTCAGCAAATATTAGAGATTATTGCATTGTAAGCAAGCACAGGACAAAATATGCCAGAGCTATGAATTTGGACATGACTTTAGATGCAGCACATCAGGCACAAGTAAAAAAATCCCATTCACTTTCTCCATATCTCCATAATGTATAAACCTTTCAACAAAGACATACCATGAGTAGTGTAATTCATATTTGGAAAATCTCTTTAAATATTTGTGTTTAATAGCCAAATTGATGTATAAAAACTACACTACCCATAATCCACAAGAGAGCTAACCAAAGACGTATATTTTTGTATATATTTGAGTATACTGTTTTTATGCTTATATTCAATGACTATATGCCATTAATTTTTGTCTATTGTTGTATTTTTTATTTATTTTTTCAAAAGAATTTATGTTTTTAATGTAAAATCTTTTATGCTCACCAAGACTGCATTTACTTGATTAAAAATACAGCAATAACAGTAATATTATTACAGGAAAAAAATAAAACTGAAATATTATTGCTATTTAAAATAACTGTTTTCTTTTGGGATGTATTTTAAACTTTAATTTATTCTTGTGAGGCAAAGCTGAATAATTTTCAGTAGCCATTAATGCAATGTCACATGATCCTTCAGAAATCATTCTAATATGCTGATTTGATGCTCAAAAATACATATATTAGACAAGATATGTTAAATACAGGACCAAGCCCATTGGGAAAAAAAAAAAAACATGTGGCCAGTGTTGCTCTCCATAGTGCTTGAAAATTACTGAAGGACTTATCATAATCTCTTTATTGCTTGGCAGAATGTTCTTTATGAGCTCAGAGGCAGACATGGATGAAGCATTTTCAGCCATTTCCACCTTCATGTCTTATTAAATTCCCATCCCAGTTCACTGCACCATAAACCCCTCACTGCCAGACTTGTGTCTCAGTTCTTCTCACTCTCATTAAGGCGTTTGTCTCTGCAAATGTGTTGTTTTCAGTGTTGTCACTGGTCTTCATCTTGTCTGCAGCATTGCCATGATCAAGAATACTGACTGTCATTCATTGTTTGGACTTGACCCCATCATGCAGAAAGGAAATTTCATTATTAATATTTGAAATTAAGACCTCAGTATAAATAACTGCTAAGTGGTATATTGAATATTCATTATATATCTGCATTGATTCTGCTGGCTGGAGATATAAAATGAATAAATATCATATTAGTGGACATTATTAATTTAAACATTGTATAGGAAGCATTTGTTTATGGCATCATTTTCCTTTAAAATACATTGTAAAAACCCTAAGCTTTTTAAAAATCTAAGGTCCTTTTTTGTTCCCTTCTCTGCTTGGAAAAAAAGCAGCAGCAGGGACTCTGGCTAAATGTGTATTGATGTGAATCTCATTTGACAGTTTGAACTGTAAGGGCAGGGCTGTATCTACGCCCCTTCCTTGCTCTCCCAAGACCCGAAGTGATGTCTAGCACTGGATATTGGGTATTTGACTCCAAACCTAAACCTCTTTTTAATGAGCTTGAGTTCTTTGACTATACTAAAATCTAGCTGTCTCTGCACTCTGACTGCCACTTATTCCCTCTTACTGGAGTTTTTCCAGCATTTGCTGGTCTTGCATCTAATTCTAGACAACAATCATGCCATGCCTCATGTCCCAACCATTATCTGGTCCACTTTTTGTCTTTCCATCTTCTCATTCCACTCCATGTTCATGGTGGCTCTTTAAATGGCTGTGATATTCTGTGCCATATGGCTTCTTTGCACATTATTGCTGTATATTGTTTCTTTCTGAGCTCTAGCTGAAAGGTTTGTATTGGCATGCATGCAATACTGACTGCTTGTAAAATTAACACTGCAACCCGATGGCTTCTCTCTCTCTCTGTTACCTAATCCAGAGACTGTCTATTTCATGGCAGCTGCCAACGTCCTCAAAATGAACCTCACTCTTAGGACCTTGACCATTGCCATCAAAATTTCAAAGGATTGAGAATATGAAACTCTGCTGTCTTCTGGCAGTATTGTAATTTAATAACAATAATGACCGGGAGAGAGAGATGCATAATTATGTACAAAAATTGCCTTGGATTAAATATTTCACTGAAAGTTTTTATTTAGTTATTTAGATTTTTTATTTTTTTTAGATCAAATTAGGATTTACTTGGTTTTCCTTTCAATTAAATGTTTTATTTTCATTTTTTTTAATTTTATTTTATTTTTAATTTTACAGCTAGTATATTTAGATGTATTAATAGGGTACAGACACATCCTATTTTATTTTTTATTTTCAGCTTTTTTATAACTGGTTTTGTCCACAGCTGAGGAACGTACCAAAGATTCAAGATCATGTCACAATTGAAAGGAATAGCTCAGCCCAAAATGAAGCTTTTGCCAATTACTCACCCTCATGTCATTCCAAATTCTTTTTTTTTAAAGAATTGTCATATGGGTATTTTAACCATGGTCTGTGAGGTTTTACCAAAAAAATCTATATGGATAATTTATTATATTCCAGGCAGAGGTGGACAAAGTACACAAATCAAATACTTGATTAAAACTACAGATACCCTATTAAAATATTACTCCAGTAAAAATATTAAGGACTCCTTTTCAATTTTACATGGCTAAAACTACAAAAGTACCTGACTTTTAATGTACTTAAGTATTAAAAGTACAGACTGATGAATGTTTATTTATTTAGCAATTTTATGTACTCTATCCTTCTACTAAAAATACGTCATACGTGGATAACGACTACTTAAAATTACTGATAATTTAAGTGTGCAAAAATAAGAAAATATACCATATAGTTTATAAAAATGAGAAAAAACTAATTGTGTGTTGTCAAATATAAATATACAATAGAAAAACAGATGTCACATTGTGCAAAATGTGTTGAGAGAAACTACGCAAATACAACGTTTTACATCATTTGAAACTGCCGTGGCAGCGGGGTAGATGCATTAATCTGGTTATTTAACATTATGTGTAGTTTTTAAACCCCGTTCAGATGGTAATACACAAATATGGACATGTCCACATTAGAGGTGGGCGATATTACCAGTGGACACAATTAACCGAAATTTGTCAACCGGTAGAGATTATCGTCTCTGTCGCAGTTACATGCTCACATTGCTGTGCTCGTGGTCATGAAAACGTACAATTTGCAAGCATTTTTAAGCATTGCAGTTTAAAAACGAGTGATTTTAAGTTGTTAAAATGCAATTAGCATAGAAAGAGAATTAATTTTGCTATATGTTTGTGCTCTGTCTGAGACTCTGAGGCGCCCATACGTGAAGACTGTGCTCATAGAGCATGGGAGTATTGAACGGAGGGCTTATAGGCCTTGAATGGTTAAATATACAAACTTGTATGTGTCAAAATGCTGTCTTTGCAAGTATCCTCGTAAACACAGTAATTTATGTCTTAAGTGAAAGCAAACATCTGAGAAAGAAAACACGTGTAACAGTATATTGGATACAGGCAGCTCTTAAAGTGACAGCAGTCTAATATTCCTTAAAAAGAAAACAGATAGAATAGAAAAAGAATAGAGCCTCTGTTAGAGGCCTTTTTTTTGCTTTTGTTAATTGTATAATAAATACAAAGAAAACAAATAGATAGAATACAAAAATATTAGAAAAGCTAGTGTTAGTTTTTTTTTTTTTTAAGAAACCAAGCAGTTAGTAAATGAATAGAGTGCAAGTCTAAAAGGGACAATTAGAATAGAGAGTGCTAGAGTTAGAGGGTCAAATAAAGATGAAAGAGATGTATTTTTAGCTGATTCTTGAAGATGGCTAAGGACTCTGAATTTACACAGTGAAGAATATGCAGTGTATTTATATATTTGATTACTTCATATAATGTGTGTAGCATTTCTTATTTATTTGTTTTACTGTAGTTTTTTTTTTGTCCTATTGCTTGTAATTAGTTTCATATTCTTTATTTAATCACTGGCTGTTTACTTATCTTCAGTGTTCTTTATCAAACACTGCTATACGTCTGATAGTGCGTGACGATTTCTCCAGTTCAAAATGGAACAAGGAATGACATTTTTATAAAATGTAGTCAAATAAAAAGTACATTATTATGATTTGGAATGTAGTGAAGTAAAAGTAAAAGTTTACCACAATTAAAATACTCCAGTAAACTACAGATGCTTAAAACTTGTATTGAAGTGCAGTAATGAGATTAAAAAAAATACTGTCCACCTCTGATTCCAGGTGTTCTGAAATGATAGCTTTGTAAAGACCAGACTAAACTTTAAGCTATTATGCGCTGATAATCAGCTTTCAAATTAAATATGGTGCCTATGGCACGTGTTTGACGTCAGTAATAGCAAATGACATTTGTTCTCATTTCTTGTAAAAACACGTCATTACATCAAACTTGTAACAGATGCAAAAAGTCATATGTCTTCAGGAGAGTCGTATGGACTATATTTACATGCTTTTATGGTGCTTATTGTCCTTTTTGGATCTTGACAGCTTGTATGAATAAGAAAAATAGCATCATGTGTGTTTGGAAGCATATGAGGGTGAATAATGTCACGATGTTAATTTCTGAGTGAACTGCCCCTTTAAGTGGCTATATTTTGCTTTAATCAGGCAAACTGAGTGTTTCTGAAGTAGTCCTTGTGAGATGTCCCTCAGCTGAAGTGTTAGAGGTTATGTTAGTGTTGTGTATGAATTTGTGCTGTATGTGCTCTGTGAGTAAGACTAGTCTCTGTCCTCTGCTTCTGCTCTCCCCATGGCATTGCTATCCTTTGACTAGCTCCAAGGCAATGGTATGTACTAACACTAACTGCTATGCTCCTCCCTCTCCGCCTCTGTCTCCTCACACATACACTCTTATACTGGGAGAAAGTGACAGTAACATCACTGAAGATAATCATTTTCCCCTACAAGACATGGAAAGTTGTCAGCTTAGAGAATTCTTCACTCGCTTTAATTCTGTTATGAACTTCAGTGGTGTTTTTCACTCTCTGCCATTTTCCAGTCTCTTTTACTGCGGTGGTCTTCTTCTCCCACCTGTGACGTGATCAATAGTATTGACTTTTCAGTGAAACCAGGTCATGCATACTGTCTTTTATATATCTTAGTTTGAACATGTTTCTTCTTACAGCTATGGGGAAAACACAGAACAACTTGCTTTATTGCTTTAAGGGATACACAAAATTTACTTTGTACTTGTAAAAATGTACTTAATTTACTCACCCTCATGTTGTTCAAGTGCCTGCCTCTTTTCTGAAGAACACAAAAGATGATATTGATTTGTGTTTTTTTTGTGTGTGTTTTATTCAGTAAATGGAAGATTGAGGACATTTTTATTTTGAATTTTTTAGCACAAATCCAGACTTCTCTATGGAGGCTGCCATTATGATAGTTTATTGAGGGACATTTCTATACTAAATATTAAGATTATTTATAAGACTTGAGATTAAATACGCATAATATTTTAGATTAAAATGTAAAATCTGGAAGTTATCAGCATAAAACTCACAGACACATAATTCTGACATTCTGACATGTAAAATTGTCATAAATTTAGCAAATGTCATGAAAACTAATAAGAACTCACTATGCACCCCTCAGATAAACCATCACCTGCAATGACCTTTACACACAGAAAGTAGTTTGAATTACTACTTGAATTAAGTTATTTAAAAAAAAAAAAGTGGGAACAAGTTTTGTTACACATGCAATTTAATTGAAAGCTCAATTAAATATATATTTAAAAACAAAAAATGTAACTTTTAACTGCTAAATTGTTTTCAAATATGCAAAATATTCAACTGTTGCAAAGTAGAAGGACACCATTTGCCAGTGCAAATGAAAAATGACCCTTTAAAGCCACGGTCACACTACACTTGGAGCATGTGAAATTTCTACGGACACTGCAACAGTTGTGATATGACATCACACTCTCTTTTGAAAAAAATCAAAAAATAATTCAATATACAGTATATGTAAAAATACGCCAGCTAATCCAATTTACTGCAATCCTGCTGCAGATTTAAAGCTTTTTTTGCATTCTTTATTTACGGGGCAGAGTTTACTAAACCTGAACTTTGGACAGCAGTGAAATTTGCATTAACTTAGATTTCCTGTCTGCTGCATTCAAATGTATATGAAGTCAATGGAACCAAACGTGTAGTGTAACTGCCTATTTTGTCCATACAGTGAAAGTTGTGCTGTGGACACTTTTCACAATATATAGTTTTTGTGTTCCACAGAAAAAAATACAATTTTGAAACAACATGAGCATGAGTAAATGACAACAGAATTTTAATTTTTTTGGGTGCACTGTGCCTTTAAGATTAAACTGATCTCTCTCTTGACCTCCCAGATCATAACTTCATCTCACTTACTCTTTCCCTACTGAACTGTTTTCAGTTTCCTTTCCATTTTTGGGTGGGTGCACCTCATGTGAACATTAACATATTGTGTCTCTCCTGTAGAACACAGCTCTAGATAAGGAAACCATCCAGCTTTCTCGCCGGCGTCAGGACCGCAGCCCCCCTCCTCCAGGAAAGAGCCCTTCCTCCACCCACCCAGAGAGACGACGCTCCCACAGGGGACGCTCATCTGTCCAATTGGAGGACTCTAGGAGTGCTGCTCCCGTTGAGCCTTTAGCCTCAACAACCCCCAATGCACCATCAGCACCTCTGCCCTCTCCTCACTCTGCCCCACCTCCCCACTTCCCAGAATGCAGTGCTGAGGCTGAGGCCAGCAAGGGCCTGCCAAAGGAAGAATAATACTATTTAAGGGAAATAATATGGAGACCATTTCAAATATACAGTAAATGCATAAATATATAGCAACTCTGCAAATCTTTGAAACTTCATGCTAGCAGCCAGCTAAAAGGCTGGAATACACTACACTACTTTTGCCCCAATTTGTACAGTCTGGACGAGTACGTTGTCCAAAGCAAGAGCCAGTCTGCAGATTTCACAGAAAATTGTGTTTGATGAGCACTATAATTTCTTTATTTACAGATTCTGATTCTACTAGTTAAGAGAATAACAAACATTGATATTTAGAACACACATATTGTTTAAATTTGTGTCTCCTTGCAGTAATGTGCAGTCTCTGAGGGTGTTTGTTGTGTTCAGAAAGACTTAAAAGCAGGGTTGCCAGGTCTGCGAAACAAAACTAAACCAGTGACTAATCAAAAAGGGCCCAAAACTAGCTCAATAACCCTATCCCAAATATCAAAAAATATCCCTAAAATACATATTTTACAGTCAATGTTCTACATTATACACAATTTCACAATAAACAGTGCTTTCATAATAGAGCTTTAAGGTTCCCTACTAGTTCCCCCTTATTCAGAAAACGTAACATCTAGCTGTCTAGCTGTCATGAAAATTCTGTCATCATTTGCTCACCCTCAAGTTGTTCCCACAAAGGAAGATATTTTGAAGAATGTGGGTAGCCAAAGAGTTTCTGGTCCCCACTGAATTCCATAGTATATCGAATTTTGTTAGCCACATTATTCAAAATATCTTCTTTTATGTTCAGCAGAAGAAGGAAATTCATACATGTTTTGCAGCAAATTGATTTTCATTTTTGGGTGAACTATTCACACTGCAAATAGCACTTCTGCTGGAAAATGGTGGACATGGCAACCCTGTGTGACCCTCAGTCTTTTATTATATGCTGTCTGGTTTTTCTCTGTAACTATTTACAAAGTCAGCAAGTGAATGAAGCCTATTGTTTTCAAATCTGTTCTGGTTTTAAAAGTAATTTAGTGTAACCCATCCTTTAACATGCGTTCAGTACTGTCTGTATAGTGGTCGTCTGCTCGTCTCCCTGCTTTCTTCTTCTTTCAGTTTGGCTTCCGATTCCAGCACCCAGGGTGGGTTTGAAAACTTAATGTGTGATTAATTGTATATAGGTGCTTTGGATATGAAAGATCCGCTTTGCTTTTGTATTTAATGACGTGGTCAGCTCACGTCCTGGTTATGAATAGCTAAACACGTTTTAGGGTGGATCTAAACATGCTACTAGAAAAAGACTTTGAAATTGGCAAGAAACTTGTCCTGCTGAAACTTGAAAGTACATTTTCTTGAAATGTATGTTTGAAAATAGACTGCTTGACTTTTTGACTCTGCTGAAGAAACACAAGAAAGCAATTCGCATTTGTGGGTGTGTGTTTTCTTAAGAGGGTGTGACTAGCACTACTGTGTTCTGGGGTCATTTTGCAATAGTTTAGAGTTGCCTTCATATGAGCCAGCAAAGCGAGGAATCTGTAGGGATTGTTAATAGTTTTGTTCTTTTGCTAATTTATTTGTACAGATTAGACAAAATGTGAAATTGTATTTTAGAATAGTTTGACATTTTCAATCCAGAGTCATTAAGTGCACGATGTTTTGATTTCTCTGTTGCAATAGTATTAGATTACAATCTCAAATCTTGAATTTGTCATTTCCATGTACTACTTCTGTACTTGTTATCTCTTTGCTCAACATGGCACTGGTTTCCTGAAACGGTCAGCCTGCAGGGAGTGATTGAGCTTGTTAATTAAGGTATATGACATGATGCACTGCTTTTTTGACGTGCATTTGAGGTTTTGAGAAAATATGGCAATATTCAGTTTTATTTCTGGAAGGCTAGATTTCATGTTTAATGTATGTCATTTTCTATTAGTGTTCTTTATCATCACATAATCAAAGTAATGCAATAAAATTATCTTGCTGTTGTTTATCCTAGTCTTGTCCTTATTATGGTAGGCTATATGATCACAGAAAACCTAGAAAACCAACCACAGTCCAGTTTTGATTTCTGTAGTCTAGCGACAAAACAGCAGCAATTCAACATCGCCATCTGCGGGTTGAAGGGCGACACAACATCGAATTAAGAGATTAAAAATTTCAAACTGCAATCATTTTATTTGTTTATTTATTTATTTTCATGCGTGGTCTTTTCTAGTTATCTTATTTGTTTTCCTTTTTTCATATTATGAGTCAAAATATTTTACATTGATTAAGATTTAGGATTTTATATATATATTTTTTTTACAATCTTGTTAACTTCAGCGATGGCCCTGCATTTTATAAGCTGTATACCGTTTATAGCTACATATAGTTGTTATGTGTCCGAACACTATGAAAAGGCCAAAAGTGATTAATATTAATCACAAAAATTGTCATTTTTTGTATTTACTTAAAAAACTTATTTTCTAAAACTGTTATCGTAGAATAGAATAGAATTCTAAAATAAAAATAAAATGGATAACATTTGGGGTCTTTAGACCCGCTGCACTGCAATGAAGAATTCATTATTTTTTTTATAGTTTTCAGGATGGGTGAACTTTTCGCGGATCACATCTGAGGGCAGAATCAGTTAAACAGCTGTAACAGACACCACACTCATTTTATTATTAAAACATTTAATCGAATGAGCTGTCAAATATTTAGAAGTACAATAATGACCTCTAAACTAGATATTTCGCCTGCTATTTTACTTCAACGCAAGTTACAATAGATAATCATCGCCACCTAATGACTAAAATTATTACCGGCTGTAATAAAAACATAGCCTCGGAGAGCAAAGGTAATTTCAAAGTATTTGCTAGAGCAAGACACATTTATATTTTGAACAATGTCCGACTTATTCATATTTAAAAGTTTATTTACTTCGTTATTCAATAAAATTCACGTAATAATTGGCCTTTTGAACTCCAGTGTCAAGTAGTAACATACCGGAAGTGCTTGAAAATATTCAACGTTAAATGTCAACAAACCATTTATTACGTCTGTCAGTGGTTTTGAATTGAGTATTGCGCAAAGTTTTTGTTTTGGACATAAATGTAGTATGATGTAATGTCATTTAGCTCAGTTATTTCTTAATGTATATTATATTAATAGACACATTCTTACCTCAGTTTATCAGCTGCTTTCCTCTCCTTCCAGTTGTGTATTCATGGTGTCCAGCTGTAAGAAGTGTCAGGGAATGAATAGGCCACTCACAGCACAGGATCCAGTGTTCAGGGCTTTTTTTCAGAGACTTGTTCTTTCTGGTGGTATGCCTCTGTTTCCAAGGAAACCACATCTGTAGCTTAACAGGAGTATCAGTCTGTTGACATAAGCAAGCGAAAGAGAGCATTTCATCCCTGGACTAAATTACGCCTCTCTTGCTTGCATGGGTTTTGGTTAATGCGTTTTCAGTGACTTGAGGGCAAAATGTTGTGAAGATGACATTAGTCAGAATTCATACAGACAGTTAGACATGTTCATGAGTCTTATACCCAGATAGCGTAAGTACGTCTCCAAGATGTCTGTTAAAGATCTCTTGATCTGGAAAGCATCTGCTGTCTTCAAACGTCTGACAGCCATCTTTCAGATGTCAGTTTTACATACATTCTAAATCAAAAACATCTTAAAGACATCTACTAGACATCTACTAGACGTCTATTTGACATCTAAAAGGAAATGTCCTATAGACGTATTGCAGATGAGCAAACTCTCTAAAAAAAAAACACGTCTTGCAGATAGGGCTGTGCAAAAAATCGAATGCAATTTTCATGCGCATCTTGTCAGTAAAGCTGCTTCTGGTGATTAGTAGTAAATCTCCAGCACGTGCTTTCAGATGGAGCGGCATTTACTACACAGAGCCGTAGTTCAGTGACAAGCTACATAAAATCGCGTTCAAAATCGGCAATGAATCGCCTGCGATTTTGTGTAGCTTGTCAGTGATCTACGGCTCTGTGTAGTAAATGCCAAGACGTCTCTGAGATGTACGTGTGCTATCAGGGTATGTATTATGTATAATAGGTTTGGGCGATGTCTACAAAATTGGCATCGGACGATGTCTACAGTGAAACATTGCGATGGATGATGACATTGGCGGGGGTCGGGGGTGGAGTTAGGGGGTGTGCCCGAAGCATGAATCCTTATAAGGGAAAACAAATAACGATTCATAACACCGTGTCTACACCGGACGCGAGCAGCGTGGCGCGACACGACAAATCCCCGACATTAAACTGCTGCCGCGTTCTATTTATTTTCGGTCCGCTCAAGACAACGTAGCAGTGTTTGAATAATCCAACAAAAATTGGCTTAAATGACTCTGCATATTAAGCTGCGATAGGGAGAAGCATTTTAACGTAAAAAATTCACACATTAGCTATAAAACTATTTGACGTTTTGATATTGTGGCCATAACTGTCTTTATTATCACAAACATTGATTTATTAAATAGCTGATAACCTGCTGGCTATTCAGACTAGGCCTGTCGCGATAATTAAATAACCGTCTAATCGCGATTATTTGATCTAACCACGGTTGTTTCAGACAACCGCGATTATTGTGCTTTTTATACGAGACAAGGGGGAGTCATAAACCAAAAGAAACAGAAGAGCACCCGTTTGCTTTTCATGCACTGTATAGCCTATACAGGGCTCCAGACTCATTCTTCCCACTGGTCGCTCTTTTGCAACTAACTTTGTCAGCTGGTCGCACGAGTACATGATTTGGTCGCTATATATATATATATATATAGCGCTACAACGTGGGATTATTCAATGCATGCTGATGAACTTTTATCATAGTTTATAGTTATATGGAAACGAAAGTTGTTAACATA